GTGGCTACGAAGTAGATATAGAGCAATATTCCCCTCAACCTTCCCTTCACACTACTCGTCTCAGTTCATCCGACCTACGCCGACCTAACCTTTGTAAATCCTCAACCTTCAGATCATCCTACTTTAACAGAATAATACTACTATGGAATAATCTGCCTAGTCATATCAAGTCATCGAACTCTTGCGCTATATTCAAATCCAAACTATATACTCATTATCTTAATAAACTAATCTCGGACTTTGATATTGAGCGTCCAAGGACATGGAAAACTATTTGCTTGAAATGTCGCTCGAGCAATATCACCTGCTGTTCGTAGCTGGTCTGGTGTTAAATAGCGAGGTTTTTGGGTTTCACTTCCAGTACCATCATCACCACCTCGCGCTGACCTAGTTTGCATGTAAGTGGTTAGTGGTACCAACTAGTGATGATGGTGGTGGTGGTCAAATCTGAACCTCGAAATAATTTTGATAGTGTAGTGTTTATTCTTGCATGTTTATATTGTAAAATACGTGTTGTTAAGACTAAAGTCTGGTGTAAAATGGCTGGAGTCACTTTTGACTTCCATTACCGCTATCACTACCTCGCGCTGACCTGGTTTGCATGTAAGTGGTTCGTGGTTTCTAACTAGTGGTGCTGGTGGTGCTGGGGGTCAAAACTGAACCTCACAAATAATTTCACAGTAGTGTAGTTATGTGTTTATTCTTGTATGTTTTATATAGTATAAAGGCCTGTAAAATCAGTATTTACGTTGTCCAGTTTGCAGTCCGTAATATGTCGTGTTTTAGTGTTAGATGGATGGACTTAGTATGGGATTCTAGTTCTGTTGTCCAATCCTTCAGTCATAGCTGTATGTGTATTTTTTATATAATATGATTGTAAAGTTAATAAAAAAAAGTTCGAATTTACCATGAAGTCATTAATATTCTTTAGCGAAGCATTTTGCCGAGGCGTTGAATCCAAGTCGTCTACGCCCAAGTTGCATTCACTGTTCGGTTCTATGGCTGCTATTCTTTGCAGAAACTCTTTATATACTTTTAACCTGCCGCCTTCTAACAAGACACTTTGGTTCTCGTACCAACGTATAGTAACATCGTTCATCTTAAGTTGCTTGCAGCCACCGCGAGGAACGTACGGTCCATTTTCCCTTGATATTTAGTATTTCTGCTACAAATCGTTCGAATAAATTGAAACCGCTAAGCCATTTGAATCTACCACTATTAAAAGTTAGTGGATTAACCTTCGCAGTTTCGTTGCTATTATTAAGATCCATTTCAGAGTACGTAATGTAATAAGATAGCGGAGCTCAAAATACACGACGTGTCCTGTATGTGTGTGTGACGTAATTTGGGTATAATTTGTAAGAAATGTAGTTTAATTCCCGGCACGCCTTGATTAGCATTGCTATTTGTGGGTCGGATGTGCGTATTTTGTTAATTGTTTTTATATTTATTAATTAATAAAAATTCTAAAGTTCAATAAAAGTTTGTAAAAGGTTATATTTACTTAGTAAAACGCGCAATTATATTAAAAGGAAGAAGCTGTGAAATTAATGGCCGTACAAAAATGTATCCGCACCCCATGGTATGAGATTTTTCTTATTTATTTATATAATTAATTATTAAACATATTTATGGATGCCTGAACAGCTATCTAGAAACCACAGCTACATGTTTGCTCCTGAGTTCAACCTATTTTAAATAGATATAAATTCAAATATTCAATGCATAACAGTTTATGCGAAGAAGAGTGTGTAAATATGCATGACCTGTATCAATCAAGAATAAACCTGGAAATACATACATGCATGTGTCAGCCCCTCGCATTTTCAAATCAAACAACTAATATTTAGTTCCAAAAATGTTTTCAACATAATTCATTCCGAAGAAATAATTTAAGAAAATATAAATTAAAATAATTAAGAATCCGAGGTTGTATAATCACGACTGCATGTGCATGCACTTACCGACAGCGTGCATGTATTAAGATTGCTCAGCAATTTTATTTAAGTCGCTTTTAACGCAAAATGCTTCAAAATAATGGTTTTCATGGTAACACTTTCTTGTCATTTAAATATGCTGGAAGTGCGACCAGGATTGAACATAGCTAATGATGTTGATATTACGGCTATAACTGAAACTTGGCTTCGCGACAATGGTGATGATCTGCAATTATCCGTGAACTATGTCCGACTGGTTATAAACTTGTCCATATAAACCGAGTATCTCATGCACCGGCGGGGGTGTAGGTTTTCTATATAAAAAACATCGGCATTAAATATATTAAGTATCACTGTGAATTTAGATCTTTTGAATGCCTTGATGTTACATTTGTGAGCTTGAATATTGTTATTTACCATCCATCATGCTTGAGGAGGTTGTCATCTCTACTTCTGAGTTTTTAATTCTCGGAGATTTTAATTTCCACATTGATGACAAGAACGACATTCATACGAAACAGTTTTTGGACATAATTGAATTGTTTAACTGTAAACAATTGGTAACTCAGGCCACGCATGTATACGGACATATATTGGATCTGGTTATAGTACGTGATGATCTTGAAGATTCATTTCTTAATGATTTGTGTGTTGTTGATCATGCAATATCTGATCGTTCGGTGATCAATTTTTGTCTGAACTTGACCAAACCACCGCGTCGCAAGAAAGTCATTGTCATCGACTTCAAATCTTATGTGTGACATAAGTGATTTGTCTTCTTTGGTCAAGAATTATGAACACGTTTTAGGCTCTCTCTTGAACAAACATGCACCTATGAAGCGACGTACAATTATCATTCGTCCAAAATCACCATGGTATAATGCCAATATCACAAAAGCAAAAAGGATTCATCGCCATCTTGAAAGGAAGCGGCGCTCGTCTAAATCATTGAGCGATAGAGCAGAAAGTTGTTAATAACCTGATCTACGAATCCAAGCAATAGGCAACTTGCATGTTACCTAAGCATCATGAGAAAAATGGTAACCTTCACTTGCGCGCGAAATGGCCGCTGTGGAGCGAGTATTTTGCATGTGAGAAATATAGTTTATTTTTAACACTTTTTTCGTAACGTTTAAAAATTTTAAAACAAGGGAGAACTTTGTAATGCTATAAAGTTTGTTTTGACTCAAGTACAGCGAAATCGAACCGAAAATGGACGAGAAAATTCCTGTAGAAGAACTGAGGAGCGAACATTGTGCTCATAAATACGTTCCAAGAGGAAGGGCCTTCCCAACGTTTTAAGGTGAGCACACTTAGTAAACATCGGACAGCTCACCATTTTAACCTACAAATTTGTGTATGTTATTTCTGATGTATATCTCGTATTTTGACAACAATCGAGTGTTTCCTGCGGATGTTTTCGCTTGTTGAAATCGACTAATTGATAACAAAAATATGTCTGTCGATCGTTCGATCAGCATAGCGCTCAAACACAATGTTTTAAAGAGACCTTAAAATGTTTTGGCGCGAACTAAAAGCAGTTCAAACCGGTTTTTCTGCCCCGGCTCCGTTACTTTGTAAAAACGCCAAAGAGAAAGCATTTTGCCTCTGTTGTCGCTTATTTTTCTGCTTCCTTTGTTGTGGTCGGTTTATTTCCTGTCAAAATAAACAAGTAGGTTTTTAGTATTAAAATATTAGGCTTAAAATATATTAAATTCGTAGTTATATTAACGTAGGAAAAACCGTTTTAAATTTGCATTAAAGGTTATAATATAGTCAATTTTTTAAATTTAGTTATTTATAGTAAATTTAGGTATTTTAATCTTCAGGCAGGCCCTAAGGATTAAATTTGTAAATAGTGAAATAAATAAATAATTAAGGTATAGGTTTAAATAATATAAATTTTTTTATGGATATTGAGCCGGGTACTTCATCGGAGGCAGATGAGGATTTGGCAGCATTGGGGGAAGGTTGGACAAAGAGTTTAAAGTTTATTCCTGGATTCTCGTACAAAAAATTGGAGGACCATTTGGTACTAGAAGCAAAGAAAACACCTAATGGCAAGCCTGCTGAGGCATTGAAGCACAAGAAAAGTGGATACAAACTATTTAAAGCTGGTTATCCAAAGCAGATTATGGTGAAACCCAATATAAAGAAAGGAAATGAAGCAGTTCATTTTCTTGTACGGTGCCATGTAAATGCAGAAATGAAGTACCTTGTTTATGTCCACCTTCATCAACATTCAGGAGATATTGCCTATGCAAAATGCTACTGCGCTGGTGGCTGTTGTAAACATGTGGCGGCTACTTTGTATCAGCTTCTCGATTATATTGAACTTGGACTCTCAGATATACCAGATGATAAAACCTGCACCCAGGAATTACAAAAGTGGCATGTCCCTAGAAAGAATACAACACAAGCAGCCCTGCTTTTCGAGCACCTCATTTCCCCCCCAGGATTCGTATGATACGGACAAAAAAGGACGTAAACGCCCAATACCAGAAGGGAAGAGGGAGAACTACTGCTCAAGAGAGAAGGTGTCAAAGGATGACTTGGAATGGCTTAAAACTAGCTTGGAAAAAGCAGGAAGCACTTGTCATTTGGTTGGTATCCTAGGGAATACCAATTGTGAACCTTGTGAGTTTACTGCAAATGAATTACCATCTAGACAGCGCATAATGAAGGCAGGGGAAGTAGGTGACAAACTGGACCAAACAGCGGTCAGATCTAGTATTCTAAAAAAATTAATTCAGAATTTAGATTGTACTTGTGTTCCAGACAAGGAAAATTGTGAAAAATATATTATGGAGAAATTGTTTGTTAATAATGAGGGATGCAGAGAGATTGAGAAGAACACGCGCAAGCAAAATGAGTGTGAAGAGTGGTATAAACATGACAGAGAAAATGTCGGTTGACTTCATCATTATTTGGTTGTATAGTAAAGAGGAGAAAAACAATCTACCCAAAAACTATTGTGAACAAGATTACTAAGTCAAGTCAAATAAAGAATGCAAGTTGTCAATGGGGAATCGAGAACGAACAGAAGGCGTTGATAAAGTACCATGAATATAAATATGAAATCAACGAGCATGTAGCTCTTTGCTCAGCCTGTGGTTTAGTAGTCAATCCAATGTGGCCATGGCTTGGTGCTAGTCCAGATGCTCTCATATTGGACAAGAGAGAAGAATCAATGTATGGAGCTGTGGAGGCAAAATGCCCTGCATCTAAATCTGGGATGAGTATCATCAATGCATGCAGTGACAAGTCATTTTGTTTAGAGATAGTAAATGGAAAGCCATGTATAAAAAAGAATCATGTATATTTTTATCAAGTGCAAGGAGTTATGGCTATCTGCCAGTTGTGTCTTGTAGACTTTGTTGTATATACTATAAGTGATTTATTATGTCATGATTTATTTTAGTAAAGTTGAATGGGAAAAGTGTACTTTACCTGAACTAACAACTTTCTATTTTAATAATCTAATGCCAGATACTGTTACTGTATTATAACATAATTATATGTTCACATATCATAATTTAAATAGTGGACACACCACTAACTGTACTTAATAAAGTCAGCA